AATACATGTATTCAACATTTAGAGCAAAACATCAAGGTAATTTTAGGCCTGGAAGGGAAATACCACATGACAGACAGCAACCCAAATACCAAATTGGTCAGTAAGGTAAATTCCCAAACAACTTTGCTACCATATATGACTCCAAACACAACAGCAAGAACAAACTCAATACTCAAAAGCAGTAAAATGAGTTAACTTTTTGGATGGGAGCATTCCACCTTAACAACATACACTTTATTCAACAAATGCATTATACGCCAGTTAATAAAAGAGAATGTTCCCTTGAAACTTTGGTATTCCAATTATCCAGCACAAACCATTGTTTCATAAAAACTTGCCATGAAGTCAAGTTAAGCCAAGCACACCAAAGGACTTTAGTGTAAGCACAATAAAATCACATGCTTCAGAATAATTATTTAGAATAACAACTTATCACCTTACTTAATCTGTCTCCTTCTAAGAAAACTGTTGAAGGGGCTCCGTAATTCTTTACATACCCACACAGAATACAGAATAGAAGCCAGGCAAATGAAAAAACACGAAACAAGAACCTCTGGATGGCTTCACAACAACTCAAATATAGTCTTTGCTAAATATTCAATCACTCCCTAGCCTCTTCTTATCATAGTGATGAACTGTACTTTCAATGACATGCATTGTTACCAAACGAGGAAATTTAACATTAAAAAATGCCAACATATCACACAGATGAAGCACTATTATTACTAAGTACTTGTTTTTTCTCAACTATTATGGAAAGTTATCAACCTGCGCTGCTTACAAAGAATTGAGATCATGCATTCAAAACTATTTTGCGGTAGAAGGTACCAAAATATAGATCAAGGCTTTTTGTCTCCTATTTTCTCTCTCCATGTTTATTTACAAGATTTAAGATAGTTTTATTTTTCGTAAACTGAGTTACTTATTCACATATAACCAAAAAATAAGTTACATAACACAAAGACAGTACTTCCTAAGAGTTCTAACCTGTACAACACTATTGAAGTAGCACGTTTCTATTGAACTTGACAAAACACTCTCATTTTGCTGGTTGAAAAGATTGTTTTCCTGAGGAAATAGGTTGGTATTTCTGGAGGCTCTTAAGTTCTGTGAACTTTTGAGAGTTTGGTCAATAACCAATAAAAGGAGTAAAATAAGCTTGCTGATGTGTAAAAAGGACACTCTGTAACCAGTAGCCCTGAACTCATGGATTTTAACTCTGATCAAGGCCTAAAGCCAGCTTCACTTTCTGTGAAGATTATTTTTTTTCTCCTTGATTGACTTCAATTCTGGTATTTCATTTTTAATACAATGTCAACCTGAAAATAGATACTGAGCAATAAAGCTTTTTCACCCATTAAACGAATCTCTCTCTGCCTCTCTTAGTTGTGAATTTGATGAAAACATCCCCCTTAAATCAAATCATAACTTCAGTTGCTCTAACTGGTTATGTCTGAAAAAGACCAGGAAAAATAGCAGCTCTAAGACTAGGAAGACAATTCAGAAAAGTTTCATATGCACATCAAATTGCATGTGGAGAAATGGCCCAGGCTTCATAAAATAGAATTATGGTATAAAGGTACAATTTAATGTACTATTTTACATAAGCCTAAAATATTTACTATATTTTCGAAGAAACAGTGCAATTACTTAATAAAAGTAAACTCTAACAGATCATCACTGCTTGGATGCATGCTTGAAATCCTTCATCAATTGAGGTATCTATGTTAAATGTAGTAGTAGTGATATATTATTAAGATAGTCTCGAAGTATTGAAGTTCCATAAATTAACTAGACAAGCACACAATAAATGGATTTCAGTCATTGAAAAAAAGCAGTGTCTCAGTTATGAGAGAAGTTCTTAATAGTATTCACTCATTTTTCTAAATAATTCTTCAAATAATTCCAGCATTTAAAAATCTTATCTTAAAAGTTATTTTTTTCCCACTGAGCTTCATCCAAATTCAAATTCAAATATTATAAAGTCTTTTAGAAAAGTAATTTTACTTTGTATTTGGTTGTAGAGGGAATGAGAGGAGCATCAAAGAAGATAAACCTGCTCTCCTAACTAAAAGACATTTAAGGAGACATCCTGTTATGAAAGTGAAACCATGTTGTTCTAAATGGAAAAAAAAAAAGACAAAAAAACAAAAAACATGGTTAAACTTGGTCATCAGAAAACACAGTCAAAATAAATTCTGCTCCAAAGGACACTAAAGGAAAGATCTGCATGGAAGATTGTAAGAAACCTGCTACAGAAATCCCTAATAAGGATGCTACTGAATGGAACCAGAACTGAAGAACACTATTATTTAATGTTGTACTTTAATTTCAGTAGCTCTGAAACAATTATTTGTGCTGAAAATACAGAAGGAAATAGCCTTTACTTCGCCTGTATAGTCACAAAATCACTCTACAAATGCACTTCAGTAAAATAGGAAGCAAATATTTCTATATATTCATAAGTTAGCATGCATCATTGCAAATATTCTGGACCACATAAGCTGTTAAAGTAATTTAAAAATCCCACTAAACAGATTCTAAACCAAAGCCATATAACATTATGCTCTTACATGCAAACATGTAAGAAAAAAAACAGGAAAAAAAAAAGAACAACCAACCAACCATATCTCATTCATATCTCATCCTGAAATAGATTCAGGACTATGCCTGAGGTACAATCAGCAGTGTAACCCAGAGATGACACCAGATTTACAATTATGTCCACGTGTGCTCGTTTATGTGTCTGCACACATGTATGTTTACAGGAGATTGAAGCTCCTGCAATTTTTTCTGCTTTTACATGAACAAAACTCAGCTTGCATAGACAGATCAGATGACAGAGAGTCAGTCAAGAAAGCCTCATTGGGAACAAGATCAGACAGTTGATACGTGTGCCATTGCTCTGTTTACACTGGAGCACCTGTAGTTACCACCATCAAAAAACCCAGGTTACACAGTGGAAAGATGAGATTTCCCCCCAGTCTGAATAAAGAAACGGAGAGTGGAACTTGAGTAACATCATTCACAAAGATCTATAACCTTAACTTCGATATTCTACATTTTCTCTCCCCTGATGCCCTAAACAATGAGCAGAAACGATCTTCTAGTAAAAAATGTGTTCTCCCAAAATCACATCGTACTTGTTAATTGAAATTAAAGTAAAGGTAAGCTTTTTCTCAGTCAGCTGTTTAAGGAACACGCTGTAATCGGTTTTTTTTCCTTTTGTTGCCTGACACTAGGCTCCTAGTCCTTACATTTGTCAGGAATAGAGAACTCTCAAAGCAAACAAATGCAGAATTAAAAATGAAAGATTTAAGAAACATTATTATCATCCTCTCTTAACTGAAAAAATCTGATAATTAACACTGCATGCAGTTTATACTCACAGGAACTCCTGATTTTAATTCAGTCCTCTGCTGATGCAAACAGAAATGTCACCAATTTCTCGGTGTTTTTTTTTTTTTTTTTTTAAACAAGAAATTACATTTTGTGCAGCTGTTCTTATTGCTGTATTTGTTAGAAACTTTCTCCTGATTTCCAGTAAACGAAGGTCACATGCACTTCATATGCTGACAATGTCCTCTAAGATTCAGTTATTTTCTTTCTATTGTTGCAGTTTACTTTACAGACATACATACAACAGTAATCATATATTCTCTCCATTTTTATAAGATAACTACTAAGATTTTTCTGTACAGATTCATGTTTTTTCCATCTACTAAACACTGAAGACTGCATTTCCTTCATATTAAAGAGAAAGTACCACTGCACTGAACAGAGTCCTGAATTCAGCATTCCAAGTCACAGTTAACATTATTGGTCAGATGTAATGTTAAGTATTTGCTTCTTTGTCACTTACAAGATTCCTGCTGCTCAACAGGCTTTTGGTCCCATTTTTTCCCCATATCATCCTCATTAAAACACGATGTACAATTTTTTTAGCCTTGGTGCAAAGCAGATTTTTAATTTCTATCTAATCCTTACCACTTAGTAGTCCTTTTTCTTGTCTATCTTTCTTAACATAGCTGAAGAATAATTGCTTATTACAGTTCCTTTTGCAAGACTTACACCTGTTTTGAACATTAAAATACTTCTTCAAATATAAACCTAATTTTGAGTTTCCAGGCCTCAATCTACAGCCTAATTCCTAAACTTCTTATTACATTGAGTTACACTACTTCATTCCATGCTATTCTAACTTTATTAAAATTTATGCTTAGAAATTGAGAGCCACAGATGCAGACTTAATTATGTCAATCATTAAACTAAACTTAAAATAAATCAACATCTGTAATTTAGGCTAGAGTTCTTTTCTCTTGATCAGTTCTTTCATAGATTACTGTTTTCCAAAACAATACAGAACTACTTCTTGCTACTTTGGTGACAATGAATGTATGTAATTACATCAGAATAAAATTGAATACAATATTACTATTACTTGCTCTCCATTCTTTACCTGGGTCATTTCAACACAAAACACTGTATGATTTAAGCTTCTAATAACATTGGACAGTAGTTTATAAGCGCACACAGTCACAAAAACACTTGCCATTCTCTGCCAAAGTAACATAACTTGAAATACATTTTACTAATACTTAGTATTTCCTTGCAGTCTATCACATCACTGAACAACACCAACCAGTACTTCCCATCCCAATTTGCTTGAGCAACAACCAGAAAAGTGTCTGTCTTTGTTTCTTCCAGTATTAGCTATAAGCAAGCATGGCCTCTGGTTTAGTGAAATCTACAAAAACAGTTACATATGCAAATCAAAGATATTGAATGTATAACACAAAACGTGAAACAGAAAATATTAAGTATTAAATTCCACTGGATTAAGGTTTTTTGTTCTTTTTTTTTTTCTCCTTGTTTTCAGGAGTAAGTATACAAACATTGATAATACCACCAGCTACTTCTCCTTTCATCACACACTTTTATCTTACAACAAACTTACTACTTAAAATTGAAATTAACTGCTAACCCTTCTCATAACGCACCTTTAGGGTCAACCTCACAACATTACATTCCTGCAGAGGGTTCAGTTTCAGCATTTCTCCAAGGTTACTGCAACCTGACGTTTGATGCTGCATTTCACAGCAAACACAGACACCATCACTGTCAAATTTAATCTGAGGAGGGAAAAAAAAAGTAAGAGAAAATGCCAGTAAATAGAAGAACACTTTCCAACAACTTTATTTACACTTATTGTGACAGCAATGAACCAATCGTAAAATGTAAACCTTTATTTCATTGTTTATAATTCCCCTACAGCAGAATGTCAATCATTAGCTAACAAAAGCTATAAAAACAGGTGAAACACACAAGAAGTAGACAATACTAAAGAACAGTGACTGCTGAAAATGTTTGCTTTGCAGAGGCAGATGAAACCACAGTTCAGCTCAAATGAATATGCATGAAATCATATGCAATGGAGAAAGATTAAGAAAAAAGAAGAGAGTCATGGTCACAAATGTCACGTGTACTTACACATATGTACAAAAACAATTACAATACAAACTAAGACATACTTCAGAAGAGAGAACAAAGCATTAAGAAAATGTGGAGAAAATAAGAATTAACATAACTCCATACTTTCACTTCGGAAAATATTTGTACACTGTTTTCCTGAATTTGGTTTGTTTTGAAGACATTAAATATTCATTAAGCATTAGACTCTCATTAGATTCCTGTGCGTGATTATAAAATAAATCTTGCTCAATGAAGAAAACTGTTATAATGATTTTGGATTCCATATTTGAGAGGGAGAAAGGATTGCATCATCTTTCTTCCTCCTTCAAAAAAAATTTTAGGCCAAAATTTAACTCCAGAAAGATTTTTAACTAGTCTGCTGCCATGAATTACCATTGCACTTATTTTCTCAATTTGATGTTTCTATGATTTCCTCATTCCCATTTTTACAGGTTATTTAAAGGACTGATAAATACCTCCTACCTCTCCAGGTCACTTGTTACAATTCCATCTGAATTGTTAAGACTGAATAGTTCGTACTGAGAAAAAGAATTCATATCACACAGGAGTTGCTTGACCTACAAGTTTTAAGATGCCGGATCCCAGGTTTCTATAGTCCAATAACCAGTACTAAGAATGACACCCACAGGAAATTTACACAGCTCTCCATGCGAAGAATAATAGATTCAAGGTACTATTCAGTCATCTTGAATCACTGCTGTATTCCTCTAAGTAAAGATGGAAGCAAAATAGTTGGCTGCTAAGAAATCTAAACTACCATGTTACTTATTCCTCTACAAGGGAAATGTATTTCAAATTTTCCAGACACTAATCCAGCATCCCTAATGAAAATGTGCATTTACTATTTTTAACTCAAATGACTTTCTACAGCGTTGTCAATTTCCTGAACAAAGAAATTGAAACGATATAAGCCTTCCTTGCAGAAGTACCTCATACAGCCATATGTGTAGAATCACCTCAACAGAAGTTTTCCTTACTGTATAAGACCTTGAAGAATATTAAAATTGTTAGTATATTTAAGTATGTAATGATTAAGACCATATGATTAATGATTAAGATAATGCGTGTGTGTGTGTATATATATATATATATATAATCATTCCTGTCATCTTATTTAGTACTCTGTTTTCATGCTGGCAACAAGAACAGCAATTGAAAGAATAGAGTCCATTAAAAATCTATAAAATTTTCCAGATGAGATGCAGATAACTTTTATGCTTTCCATACACAGTGTTGAAGTTGTACTCAAAGAATAACATCTGTCTCAGTGGATTCCAATTCCTGAGAATCTAGATTGCTCTCTAGTCTGTGTAATTGCTAAAAAAGATTTATTTATTTATTTTAATCTGAGCATTAGAATTAGGCCATTTCTCACATGCTACATGGCAGCACTGGAAATACTTCACTATACCAATTCGCACAGACTGATGATACCCTCTTTCATAGTTTGCACACCTTCAAGAAGTTGTGCTGTTTATTTCTAACTAGCATACAGTTCATGAAGCTGCTTTAAAAGTTTTGGAGTCTTTTTCAGATTTTACACTTGTCAACTTTTAATACTCTATTTAAAAAGCAAAAGATCCAAGTAAAACCCAACTATGGCTTATAATCAAACAACCTCATCTTCTCCAGTCAACAGAAAATACAACATGAAATGCCATTGGGGAGGTCTTGCTCTTGAACTCCTGTAGGAATGTTAGAAATGGTGTAAACTGTTAGATAGATAAATGCACAGAGGAAATTTAAAACCTGAACTTTCAATTTAGAGTTACATCAAAGACAGCAGTCAGAATGCTACAGCACACATGCTATATCAGCACCAGGCAGATCAATACACTCTTCAGCTGCACAAAAGTTATAACTTTGTGTGAAGTTTTGAACTTCAGACAAAGCTACCTACTAGAATGATTATTCCTGTGATCCATGGTGACACTGTTCAAGGAAAAATAGTCACTGACTCAAGGTGAGACACTTGATATTTCTAAAAAGAAAATACCAATGCCAGGTCTACTTCTATCTCACATAATGAACTGGTGTCTCATAAGAAGAGGCTGAAAACAGAAGTAGTTCCTTGGTTATAATCCAACATTTATGAAAGATTCTTGATACATTCTGAATTATGTTCCATAACTTCCTACTTCCAGATCTCTTGAGGTCTCCTTCCAATTCCTGCAAATCTGTGATTCTGTAACTCTCTCTTTAATTCAAATCTTAAACATTGTTGGAATTGTTTACATGAAAGTTTTTGCAAAACATAAGGATGTTCTAGAATATATAGCATATTCAGAAAACATTAAGATCAGAATGAAACCAAATTCCTTTTCAATATCAAACACATATTTTTGAAGAGCTTTCAACAGTTTGCCCTACTATACACTTTTTCCTTTAAATATGTCTGTGAATTGACAAACCAACTCTTTTTTTAAAGGGAAGCAGTAAAGAAGGCTGAATATGTCATCACTTTTGCACATTCAGCAGTATAGCAGCTGATTCCATACAAAGGTTTGGATGGACCCCTTAAGACATTATTACATTATTTATAATATCCACTCACAATTTTTTTAGTTAATACTATAGTCATTAAATGTCAAAAACACTGAGTAGTTAAGAGCATTTCTAATCTGAAATCATATATATTAAAGAGTAGAGAAATTCTACAGCTTTTTTTTTGGTCAACAAATCAAAGAACAGTCCACTGAGCAAGAAAAACATAAGTAATTCCATCTACTTTCCAACATTTATGTTCTTTTCCTTAGGACTTTGCTGCTATTCCCATACGTAAGATGTGACCACCAATGCCATGTATCAAACATTCTGTCCAGAAACAAATTCAATATACCCCTTACAGTGAACTGCCATAAACAAAATTGTTTGACTCTGCAGGTTAAAATGCAGTTCTTTTGAGAAGCTGCTTATTCTTCTACGCAAAAACACAGCCCTTTCATTATGTCCTCATGGGAAGTTGTAGTACAAATGCACTCCCTAAAAGTAATTAAAACCAGCCTTAGTATCAAAGCGGAGATGTCAAAAGAAAACAGTAAGACTCACTTTAAAGAGCTCCCAACAAAAGATACCTATGTTACTTAGTTTCAAAAAACACAATTCCAGAGTGCGGTACGCATCCTGTAACACCTCCAGGTACCATGAGTTGACCATTCTAGCTCTGCAGCACAATTCCAAATTCCCATAGCAATGAGAAACAAGAATTCCCATCAAGTTCCCCAAATAAAATAAATACACACACACACACACATATATATATATATGGGGAAAATCCTCTCTGCCTCTCTCTGGGTTGCTGCTGGTTTTCCACACACTCAGACACCTGGCTCCATCCATTTGGTTTTGTAAAGCCTGAACCCTAACCAGAGCTGGAAATCACATACACTGTAGAAAGTGTAGCTCATTTATGGAGTTGCAGACACACTTTTTTGAAAACAACACATGGGTGATAAGAACACAGAATAAAGGCTTAAAAGCTGACTAAAGAAGTTACACCCAATGGCAAATTACACCCAAACGTTCTCCCATTCTGCATTTTTCAGGTCTATTTCAAAAATATTTGTTGAGATTTTCTTATTTTAATTTTGTTTTATTATATACTCGCATTCAAATAGATGCTTGAAGGGATTTACTGGGCAAAAAACAGAAGAAGAAAACAGTGCCTGAATAGAAGAGATAAAGAAGCATCTTGTAGATTCACCTGCTAACATCAGAGATGAAAATTACTTTTCTCTTTATAATTCCAGTCAACATTTTGGTGTGTGCCCAAAGGATAAGGCCAATACAAGCATAACCCTAATATTTAATCAATATTGTGCATACTCATGTAATTTAGATAATTTGATTGGTTTTCAGTCAGATTACATTAAAAAGAACACTGATGTGTGTCCACAAACATTCTCTAGCTCATTCATCATTCTTACAATCTAATGTCATTTGTCTTCCAAATTCTTACGAAAAATGATCATTATTTTGATATTTACTTTAAATTAGAGATTTCAGGCAGGCCATGTGTGTTTTCTCATGAGATAAAAACACTGTGTTTAGGTATATTGCACCTTTTAACAATTCAAAGCATGTTATTATGGCAACTTTTAAATATTATTCTGTATTTTATTTAACATACATTTGCTTTGGAAATTATAAAGTTACTACTTCACGTAGATAAAAAAATGTACACATACTAAAACATCACTATCAATATGTCTAGGCAATATATTAGCTATAGAAGGAGACACTGGATGAAACTGTGATACTTATAACATTAAATGGCAACCATTGCATTGGTTTGAAGGGGTCTGTATTTCACTTATTCTGCCTACAACAGAAGAAAGTCTTTTAAGATGGGAGAATATTCCAACTATGCTAGCTCTTAAATTCTCAAATTTTTCTCAGTGTGACCTGTCACATAGTAAAGGCTAACAGCAGCTCTACAGAACACGTACTGTTTGAAAATTAAAGCAACGTGTGTACAAAATGCAAACAAATGGAAAATAATATATATTGTCCTTTTTAGAACAAGTTTGTTTTTCATTACTCACCAACTGACATCCTTCCAGGGACTTTACTAGCTGAGCATTCTGACAAGAAAGAATGGAACCAGCTAAATTCAGCATTACACACACTGCAGAGAGCAGCATGAAAAAGGTTATCTGGAAAACAAAAAACAAAAACAAGCACACTATTGATTATTCACTGCAGGAGGCAAACAGGAGAAAATAATCATGTAGATGTTCAAGAACTTCCTTCCTACCATGCAATTAGATGGATGTTAAACGGACTTTATACATTTTTAAGGACAACGTAGAATATTCATCAATCTTAAACTGAATCTCACATAATAAACAGCAAAAGTGAAACCAGACTTGCCTATCACTTACTTTTGTCCAGGCATTTCAAAATTCCCCATTTGTCTTCCATATTGGTAAAATATTCTGAAAATTTATGGTTTTATTAATCAACATCATTTACAAGAAGTATTTTTATAATCAAAAGCAGTCTTTAAACAATTCAGACTCCTTTCTGATGAGGACATAAGCATCTTAAAGAGGAAAAGTATTGATGAACAGCATGCATAATGAATTTGTGTAAGTTAGAAAAGGAAAATGAATAAGATTTCTGATAAATAATTTACTTGATTTTTAAACAGCTACAATTTAAACAACACAATATCAGCTACTCACCGTATTAATGACTCCTTCACCCTCTTTTCAAAATATGTGAAAACAGTCATTTACTTGATTACACCAGCTAAACTATCATTTTACAGCTGTAAACATAAAAAATGCTGGGCCAGTATAAGCAGACAAATTTCAGTATGTGGAGAATTCAACGTGTAGGGAAATTGAAAGGTACAAGCAGGAAGAGAACAAAAACACGTACTCAATGCTCTCTGGAGATAAATATCGGCTATGCTGTATCTCCTAGAAATATTCCATTAATATCTAGGCTCTTTCTTTTTGTTTTCTGAATAATTCAGCCTATTTATTCAAATATGTAGGGAACTTCTTCCAGCCCTTTTACTGCAAACTGCTTTGAACAGTTCTATGGATCTTCAGAGAAAACTCCCTGTTTATATTATTATTTTTTACATTACCAGTATTTCAAATGCTAGCCTCGTATTACAAACTGTTCTGAAAAAGAAATTCCACATTTCTGGTCACATTATATTCCTCTTATGAACTACACACAGGTTCCTAAGAATTCATATCTTCAGAGAAATGCAGTGGACATCAAAACTTGTTTGGAAAGGAGGGGGGAGAGGTGGGGTGAGGAGCCATCAGTCACCTTTGCTCTCAGTAGATTTCAGATGAAGTTCTTACATTTCACCCATCTCCAAAGTAATAAAAAGTTGAATATCCTGTAACTTTATACTGACTGACTTGAACAGGTTTGTAAGTGAAGAAGACATGGTGTGAGGCTAAGCATTACATTCTTTACCTTTCCAGCCACAATATATAAAGCCAAATGTGATGAAATGGTTCAGCTGAAAAGTGCATCTGTACCTCAGTAAGTCTGCAGATGAAACCACACTGGGAAGAAGTATTTATAGTGGCGCAAAACAGACCTAATCATGCTTTCCTAACATGCTACTATTTAATTTGGGCTTCACTGATAAGGAAATTACTATTGCAATGCTTATGTTTGTCCTATTTGCTTCTATATTGCTAATGCAGCAGCTTTGCAAATACAGAAAAATGGAGAGAGAATTTGTAAGATAACTCTTCCAGATTCATTATGCTTTCCTTCATAATCCATTTATTTCTGGAAGGATCATGGTATTTCTAAATATTCATTCTTGAACATCAGGTTACTAACGAAGGAACCCAAAATGGATCATGCAGTGTATCTGCATAAATATAGGCTTTTTTTTAGCAAGTGGTTGTCGATGAACATACTGCTTAAGTATAAGATGAAGATAACAAAGATGCCCACATTTAACTAAAAACAAATCAATGTATAAATTAAACTCAATTTACCAAAAAATTGTCGTAACATTCTGTCTTTCAAATAAGTGAAAAAATAGATAGTGAACACAGTGACATGCTGTTTATGCTTCACTGTGGCATAGAGCGTTCAGAGTATTCAGTTCATTTAAAAAATGTGAGAAATATCTTACAGCATCACACAGAACACGTTTGATTGACTTTTGTAACATTTTAAAAGGAAAAGACACAGGACAGAGTTCTAACACATCAACAGTAAAACCAATATTTGATCAAACTAAAACCCATTTAAGAAGCTGCCTCTGTCAGCAAAACATAGATTCATAATAAATAATATACTCCTTGAGTGAGAAGATAACACATTTTAGTTCTCTTTTCAAACCCCCTAATCTATATCTCTCTTCACAAACTGAAGTCCACACAAAGATGTCATCTTTAACAGCCTAGATATGAAGGGTCAAGTCAGTCTGCTCTTCCTCGCTCCCTTGCATTTTGTTTCTTTTTTCTTCCCCTCAATCTGCCAGACTTCTATGTGATTCTAGAGAACACATCCATTAAATTATAATAAATATATGCATTTGGCATATACTTCATTGGTAAACGACTACAATTACTAGATAGGATGAGCCCAAACAGAAGAAATAAGATTTAACTAACACAGGTACTCTGATAAGCCTTAATTATCTTTGCATTATCAACCTGATGAAAAATATTTTGCAAAATACCATGGGGGGCTGTAACACAGGCATTAACTCAAGAATGCAATTAAAAATTCGGCGTGGAATTATCTCATTTAATAATTCCAATAACTGGCTTTAATTAAATTATACATTTCTTAAAACAGCTTCAAATAAAAATATACCCAGTGTACCAAGAATGGGTTTCAAACATTGCAGACCCAACATGTACACTTAATTAAATATCACAGTGCACTCATTTGCACAGAATGCAAAATGTGAGTTCCCCACTCTGCCTTTTCAAGGGACAGCTTATGAAGCATTAAGACCGTAATACCTTCCATGTTGAAAGAAAAATATATTTTAACCCTAACACTAATGGGTCATGTTAATTTTCCAGTCCTATCTTCAAAATAAACAAATTGCAAACAAATCTCAATTTCCAAATAAATAGTAACAAAAACCATTAGGATTAAGAGAGCTCAACTATAGTGAAAATGTTCAAAAATAGAGCATACTTAGCACTTATTTTTTTCTATTCCGATACCTCCTATTCCTTTTTCATGTTTCTAATAGGAAACCACTTTTGATAACAGATTAAAAAGTATATAGTTATTTTGAATATTTATTCACTTGAGTATTCTAAAAAATGGGTAGAGAACTTCCCATCCACACAGCAGTAGAGTTGTCTGCAATGCTCTCATCTTTCTTAATAGACAAGTCCAAGAACGTACATTAATTTCAAAATGCAAGTAGCTACATACACATTATTTTACAACCCGCACATGCCATTAAAACTACATTTATCACTGAGAGCATTCTGCCTTATGTTTTCTGTTCGCTTTGCTCTGAACATTAAACTAGGAAAAACTAATATGAAAGACAGCTGTAATTCCCCAAACAATTACTTGACACTAATACACAACTTAAATCAGCATCAAAATGGCTGTCAATCACACTGCAAGAAAACAAACTTTGAACATTACATTATGCTTCAGAACAGCATTCAACACTCAGAGCACTCTTCTTCAATGATACTATAAATATAAGTAGCATGTTACATTTCTTATATTTTGTATAATGATTAATAAGTATTTGTCATTAGATGAGATGGAAAAGAATATATGACATTTGAAGAAATGTATTACATGCTTTAAGCTTATTTAATCATGATACAACCTCATAAACAATGATACAACTCTGATTCAGGACAGATCTCTGAAGACTTTACTGACTAGTGAAATATAGACAAGAAAATGGTTAAATCAGCTTCCTTACAATGGGTTCCACGATTGAAGTCTGTGACGTCTCAAGAAACACTTTGTTTCTTCTAGAATTTGCCATTTTTGTGCAAAGAAAAGTTACAAACTACTATTTCTTAATGACCTTTTCAAGGCCTGCAATGTCATCTGTAAAATGGGAGCTGTCTTAATTAAAACAGAGTCATCATTCCTATCACCCTTCTCTTAGCTTTTCAATGAGGTAATTGGAATTGCACTCAGCATTCAATATGTGGATTTAAACTGTGACACATATAACAAGATATTATGACTTGTTCTGTATTTCTTTTCTAAGAACCCTAGCATTTTTTATGTATTACTGGAAGGCAAATACTGAACTTGGTAGTTTTGGAAAACTACTCACAAACTCTACCTGACTGTAAATTCATACCTCGCCTTATTTCAGACTATTTTTCCTTAGTTGTAATCCTTAGTCATAATCCTAATAATGAGTATAATGCATTATTATGTTACCTTGATTAACTGATAATAGTCTTTATTTGTACTCTCTTCAAATGGTCCCTCTGTAAGCTTTGCAGAAACAAAAAAATGTATCAACATGTAATTCTACGAATACAAATCACTTCCCATTAAATCAAGTTGTAGTTGTTTCACTTTATTATTAATATTACAATTATTTATTTTATCTTAATAAACTAATTCTATTTAAAAACAAAATCCAAAGACTGAAGACTGTGATGGGCACTGTTTCTTTTGTTTGGCATGGTGCAACGTGCATTACCTGCATGGAGCCTGAAGGGAGGCACAATGAGCATCCTCTCAGTGAGGAGCTCCAGGCTTGCTCAGGGCAGGGAGGATTCCTGAGACCCGAAGATGTGGGCAGGAGGTTCTCAGCACAGAGCAGAGCTCAGGGAGCAGGCAGCAGTAGCCAGAGTGGACAGAACCACACCAGTGACACGAGAGTGGAAATGGAGTGACGTGCTTTCACTTGGGAAATAACTGAGGCAAGCAAACTAGCAAGGACTCACCATAAAACTACCTGGATTCCAAGAAGAATCGGATTAAAACCCTTCAATAATTTCTACCCTGTCTTATGTAGTTCCATTATAAAAAGGTAACTATCAAAATTCATATTCTAAAAAAATCTGGCTTTAAAGCATATGGTTTTTTTTCCTACCCAATTCACAATAAAAGAACGCCCAAACAGACCTGAGTCGAAACTGTGACCAACATGAGATCCTACCATGAGCCAAACTAAAGTGCCTATTGAGCCAAGTATGAAGAAACT